ACCCTAAACCCTAAACCCTTCAACAAAAGCAGGCGACTCCAGGATGGAAGCCCGCGAGCCTCAGCCGGGTTCGAAGCCCGAAGGTTTCCGAAAATAAGGGGTACCTTATTTTGGGGTCCTTATAATAAGGATCCTACTATTTAGGGTACTATATTAGGGTCCCATGACCCCGATGACTAAAACTCCATGGCACAACCAACGCCCAGGGAGTTTGGGGTTTGGGGTTTTGGGTTTTGGGTTTTGGGTTTTGGGTTTTGGGATTAGGGTTTAGGGTTTAGGGTTTAGGGTTTAGGGTTTAGGGTTTAGGGTTTTGGGTTTAGGGTTTAGGGATCTGTTTACTCGGAGCTCCTCGAAGCAAAGACGGTCCCTTAGTTCAGCCGAGAAAGAGCAGCTCTGGCTGTGTAAAGATGTGTGATGGACGCTGGACAACTAGACCTTCGCCAAGGTGGATTGAGGCCGTGCAGCATCCCTCCCCACATCCTAGATCCGATCCTCACTGCAGACATAGCCTGTTGAAAGCTGTCTCTCATTCGCAAGTTCACCCCCCCCAACTTCTACGCCAAAAGTATTTTTACGAAAAGTCTTAAACCATAATCATAAACCTCCTAACTTCTACTAAACAGCCTTCAACAGTCCTAAACCTGCAAGTCCGCAGCCCTCAGCCCTAAACCCTAAACCCTAAACCCTAAACCCTAAACCCTAAACCCTAAACCCTAAACCCTAAACCCTAAACCCTAAACCCTCAGCCCTAAACCCTAAACCCTAAACCCAAGCCCTCTCGCAGATCCGTGGTGCCGCAGCGGCGCTGGGACTCGTCACTGCTGGCGGTACCTCGGCTCAGCACTGTGTGGAGACCTCAGTAACCCTCACTTATAGGGCTTCGGGTTTAGGGTTTAGGGTTTAGGGTTTAGGCTTAGGGTTTAGGGTTTAGGGTTTAGGGTTTAGGGTTTAGGGTTTAGGGTTTAGGGTTTAGTGGGTTTCGGGTTTAGGGTTTAGAGGTACCCCCTAGTAGGTGGCATCCTTTGTAGTAAACTCTATGGTAACCCCTAGTGGTACTCCTTATCCCCGAATCCGCATGATCCCTTTGCTCTCATCTTCCTGGGCTGGGGGCTGGCCAGGACCCCAGACCCTAAACCCTAAACCCTAAACCCTACCTGTAGCCGAAAAGACCTACCTTTTTAGGGTTCCTTATTCTGATTCTGTAAATAGTTCCTTTTAAAATTTAGGTCTTTTCGGCTAGACCCTAAACATGGCAAGCGCTGATTCATGGCAGTCTGGAGCCCGAGCCCGCAGGAGCCGGAAGCAGCCGCGCGACGAGCGCGTCAGTCAGAGAGCGACATCGCCGCCTCACAGAGTCATGTTGCCCGCCCCTCAGGGTTTTGGGGGAGGTTGCTGGTCGTAGGTGTACTTGGAGGATCACGGAACTTAGTAAGTATGGTTATAATCACCTTAATTGGTGGTCATAAGTAGTTATAAGTACAGTTACCCTAATAATAACTTAGTTGCCAAGTCCCATGATCCTTTAAGTAGGGGCTTCGTGAGTCCTCATGACTTCTAGCGCGCTGCCATGTCTTGCGCCCCTAAACCCCAAACCCTAAACCATAAACCCTAAACCGTGTAGGGTTTAGGGTTTAGGGTTTAGGCCCCTGACGAAACATCGCAGGTCGCGGAGGAGATCCTTGAGCAGCCCAAGGCCCGCAGTTTCCAGGGCTGCAAGTCAGAATAATAACAACAGTACACAGTGCAATGACAATAAGAATAGAAAGACTAATGCTAATTAGGGTTTAGGGTTTAGGGAGCATAATCGTAGATGTAGTAAGTAAGTCAGATTAGACAGAAGGAGAGCAGTAATAATAGTAATAATTGTGATAATAGCAATCATACTAGCAGTAAAAGTAGTAGTAGCAATAATAATACCAATAGTCATAATCATAAATACTACAAAGGCTGATATAACGAGAATAAGCAATATGAAGAATAATCAGTATAATGATAGTATTCAGAAGAAGAATAGTAGGTACCGGTTCCGCGGCGACCTGCCATCAAAAGATTTCTGCGCAAGGACATCCTCGAATCAATTCTGCAAGCCGTCTTCACCCCAAACATGTAACTTTGCAAGCATCCCGGTAAAGTTTCTTATCGTGATTGTCCTGGTTCTGACTGGTCAGCACCGTGATGACGATGGATCTCATTCTGAACTATAGCAGTACTTGGGCTCACTATGAACAGCAATCAATACTGTCTGGTTTAAATGTTCAATTGTGTTTGTAGTCCTCGTGCTTGTATTAGTTATTTGTATTCATTTTAGTTTTCGCCGTGCGTTGGCAGTACGTTCGTTACATTCAACACTCTTACTGCCATCGCTAACTATCACCATCATCATTGCTGCCACCGTCTCTGTCCTTCCTGATTCCTCCTAATGATTACATCACCCTATTCGTAAGATGCCCCAACAGCCCACAGGATCAACAACCCCGGCAATCCGGAAAAGTCTTCAGAACGCACTTAAAACCGGAACCCTCGACCCAAAACCCATCCTAAACTCTAAGCCCTACAAGATCCGAATAGCAAACTGCCTTAACCCCTACAGCCCTAAAGCCCTAAAATTGGGGCCTGAATAATTAGAACAGGGTTTTAGGGGTACCGTATACCAGAAATATGAAAAGGAACCCTCGGGAATTTTCATTTGAGGATTTTCTACTAAACCCTTAGCCCCAAAACCCCATTCTAATTGTTAAAGCTCCTGTTTTTTTAGGTCTACGTCGTAAACCCCTAAACCCTAAACCCTGAACCCTAAACCCTAGACACTAACCCTGAACCCTGAACCCTGAACCCTAAACCCTAAACCCCTAAACCCCTAAACCCCTAAACCCCTAAACCCTGAACCCGAAAACCTAAACCCTGAACCCGAAAACCTAAACCCTAAACCCTGAACCCGAAAACCTAAACCCCAGACCCTAAACCCTAAACCCTGAACCCGAAAACCTAAACCCTAAA